AAAACCGAATGCAAGAACACTTAAAACCCGCAAACCGCTCTGAACATCAAAACCGAAAAACCGAACCTTTTCGGCCCAAAAACCGATCCAAAAAACAGTCCAAACCGAAAATCCCAAAGCCCCCCTCCTAAAATGTCGATACATTGTCAAGCAGACAAGTTATGACAAGGACGAAGAATATCCAACAGAAGATATAGTTTGATTTGATGCCAAATTCTCAGAGCTGAAATCATGAACTGAAAATTGTAGATCAGACAGTAAGAAGAATCGGTCTTTATATCTTGGGAGCAGAAGAGCTTGAGGTAAGATAAGATAAGATAATGACTTTATTGGATAACACAATCACTGGTATCACCAGTAGTTCTCATTGTGGTCCATAAGGTAAGAGTGTCAAAGTTGGTCGATTCAGACTACACTTTGCAAACTTAAAAAAAAAAAAATAGTAGAGCTGGTGCGCTCTATCCATAAGATAGTAGTTTTATTCTAACTTTTTAAATTATTTCTCTTTAAGGCGGAGCGTCTATTACTGGAAGGACCAGCATCGGCAAAGTAATTCCCACTGCTCAGAAAACTTTACATCTCATCGTTCATTGATTTTCTTTCACAGCCAGCGAGATCAACGATGTGCTAAAAGCGGAAATATTTGATTTGTATGCTAGAAGTTCGAGGTCTCTATATTTAGTGACTCGTTTTGAAAATGTATAGGTTTTACTGATTTTATTTAACTTCTGATGTTATTTTATATTTTACATACCCAGTTTGTTATATTAGGATGTTGATTGCAATAGGAAATAAATGGAGAATTGTTAAGATTCAGTGGTCCGTTTTTAACGATTTAGTAAAGTAATGGAACGGAAACGTCGGGATGGAAATGGAAAAAAGAGACGGGGAGGTTACACGGGTATTCTCTGCTCGCCACATCCCCGTCACCGTAGTGAACAATTATTGGCCGTAATTAGACATCAGTCTCCGTCATTAATTTTTGCCGTCATAAAATATGATTTGCCGTCGCTCGGAAAAAATTTACTGACATTTAACATTTACCGACAATAAACACCATTTCCCGTCACTACACATCATAAGCCGTCTGTAGTCTCCGACATCCTTCCCGTTAAGCCTCGTTCACCGCAGACCATATTCTCGATTATCTGCCCCCAGGGTCTCCAGCTTCACGAACGAACTGGTGCCCAGGATCTCAGCGGTTTCTTGCTTGGTAACCTTGCTATTCAATGTTGCCTGACTGATCTCGCAGAGTGGCTGATTATCGGTGATAGTGTGGAATCCGATGCTTTGCGCCGTGAAAATTAAACGGATAAACGAGATAAAATAGATAAATATGTCTGAAATAGATATTCTGGTTGAAATGGGTTTTCCAAGAAACAGAGCGTGAGTAGATCTTCAAATACGCGTTTCAATTTTTAATCCACTTTCGCTCGCCATGTGAGGGTGAATGAAATCTTTAATACTGACCTTGGGTAGAAATAAGTATCTATTTATTGTTCAAATGCTCCATCAGAGAGAAGGCCCTTACTGTTACTGGTAACAAAGGCGTGGAACCGGCTATGGAATGGTGAGTTTGTGGATTGAATTCGCGTCAAAAAACGACAAGTATTTTGACGTAATTATAAAAATCATACAAAATTCCGCTGTCAGGAAAAACAGATTGTACAGACTAAAATTCGAAAAAAAAAATAATATCTGAATTCTAAAAGAGAATTATACGAAAGCCATATTGCTATTGTTTTTAGAAACAAAGTTAGAATTTGTAAATTTTATTATAATAAGGTTCAGTTAAAATTCTCAGATAACCCTGTGTCGGTTTATATGAGGTTTTAACCCTTATATTCCAAGATCTCACCAGAAATTCTCCTTACTGTATGCAATACTATTCTTATGATACTAGTTTGGAGAATCTTGTATTGAATCAACTAATAATCCTCTAATTGATCATTTCTTTATTGTCGTTACTTGCCTGCTTGAGAATGTATTGATATTGCAAGGAGAAATTCTGTTTTGGTCAGGTAAGGGAGGTGAGGGGTTAAAAAAAACTCTACGTTTGCTTCTGCAGATATAGTAGCAGACTGATTTAGTCACTGAACTGCTGTTCAGTTTGTAGTTCTTGAAAATCTTCCAGTTAAGTACCCTACTACTTTTTCATTCAATAAACAAGCTGGGAGGCATTGCCCAAAGGTCAGTCCCTTGCTATTTGCAGTTTTTGAAATAGACAATCAGTTATCTGTGTAACATAACTAACTGTTAGTAACCTTGTCTTGTCTTGTCCAGGCTCTTTGCTCATTCAGAGGATCCAGACATTGATGAACCTTACAAACCACCAGTTGGGCATGTGTTGGGTGAAGGTAACTAGATTGAATCATAAAGATAACAAAGTTTACTCTCTGTAGTGAAGTAACCAAAGAATTTATATTGTCACAAATGTGGGGCTAGGAAAAATATGAGACCCTGCAAAAAAAAAAAAAAAATCAAATCTTAGACCATCACTTTCTACACACCAGTACTTTACCATTAGCCACAGAGAACATTCAGAGGAGTTAGGTTGAAAGAGTCATGTGACTAAATAGAATGAGGAAGGAATAAGGAATTCTGAGCTCTGAAGTGGAAAGAAGATTTTATTCATGTGGTCACGAGTGTGGTATAAAGAAAATTCTTAGTCCCTACCTACACCAAAATGGCCTGTCCCTTGTTATTTCTACGCAAAAGCCTATTCTTAACCCTGGCCTATAACTCCCAGAAGTGATTGACATGAAACTTCTTCTTATTATATACATACATGATCCAACAAACAGGTGGTGAGAATACTCAAACTTATCAGGTAGAAGTTGTTACTCTGATTGAAAACCAAATTCTCATATCCTATTAACAAGGAAATGTGTAGCAGCTAGAGGAGACAATCAACAATCTGATTTTGGGAGTTAGAGGGTTAAATGAAGTATTAGAGCACTTACAGTTAAATTAGTTAATTCCATCACCATGAAAGTTCCATCAAAGTCTCAGCATTTCTCCTGCTCTAAATGTTTCTGTTACACACATTGTTTGTAATTTTAATCATGATGCAGATGATAAGTCAGCCTCTTCAGAAGGAGCAAGTGAGAAAGTTCCCATTGAGAATGCAGATCATTCATCAGATGCAACTGGGCCCAGTGAACAACCCCAGCAAGCCTTATCTCTTGTTTGTGATGAGTGAGATTTCTTCCAATGATTACTTTTCTTAGCTGAATATTATGATTAATGCATACTTTTAGAATGTTGGTCTTTGTGAATTTTTTGTCAAGGTATCCTCTGTATGTGTTGTTTGATACCCTTAAATGGGAAAAAGTCAGACTGTATGTCATCTATAGTAGATACTTCAGATAATTATTATGGATGATCAGTTATAAATTAATTGACTAAATTTCTAATTAATTGATTTTACAGTGTAGTTCAATTTTGCATAAAGGCTCATAAGTTCATACCTGAAGCTTTTCGGTAGATTTATTATTTATTCTTTGAATTGGAGGTTGTCAAGTCAGTAAACTTGGTTTTTTTACAATATTATGGTTTGTGCTTTGTACAAATCACTCAATTGCAAACCTGCCAGGCAAATTGCAAACAGGAGAGTTTCTTTGAGGACCTACTCTTGTGGTGTTGGGAAGGAGATAGTTTTTGGAATTACTAATGAAAGAAACGTTTGCTCAATAACTAAATTATATGTTACATTTAAATGTATTTTCAGCTGTGGAAAAAGGCTTAGAAGTGAGAATGATGTGCAGGTTGGTTTAAAGTTTTTTTTTTTTTTTTTTTTTTTTTCGCATACATTTATCAACTATTTCCTACTGTTTATTCAGCAATACCATGAAGAAAATGAACTTGCTGTTGTACTAATCAGACACTGTCGACCATTAACCTCAGGATCCACAGAATAGGAACCAAGTGTACAAAAGAAAAAAAATACATATTTCTCAGAAAACAGAACCTGCTCCTTTTAATATCTTACAGAAGTCTTAATTTTTTTTATGTTGATAAAATTTTAAATGTGAAAGGAGGAGGGTTTTTTTTGTCTTGGCAGCACTCCAAGGGAGAGACAATTATGTGTGAAATGTTTTATAAAATCAGTTCACTTTTTGCTCTATCTTCAAGATGCATGCAGCAAGATCAGGACATTCCAACTTTTCTGAGTCTACAGAGGAAATCAAACCTCTTACTGAGGAAGAAAAAAAGCAGCAACAAGACAGGTATTGAACTTTTTCTCCCAAATAAAATAAAATCCACCTTGTTGGCCTCATATGGATATACTCATTTGCATGGCAACCTGAAGAGTGACAGCTGTCTATTTCCAGCAGGCAACTCTTGTCTCCTCCCTCCCTGGTAATTTGTCACCTAGCCTTAAAAGTTGGTCAGAACCCAATTGCAATCACAAGACTAGTGGGAAAAAAAAAGCACTGTGAGATGAAGTGTCTTGCCTTAGAATATTAGACTTATCGACACAACCAGGGATCCAGTCTAGACTCCTGGATTCAGAGTTCAGCATGCTATCTTCATCTTCTTTTATCTCTTTCCTTTCTTTTTTTTTTTTTCCTCTTTTTTTGGTCATGCCAAGCAGTAAGTCTCAATAAAAGTGTGCCTTTTGGCCCAAGAAGCTTTATTTTGCCTTGTGGTTATTTTTACTTTAAGATTACAACAACGACTAAAAGAAAGAAGAGAACAGAAACTAGCCAATGAAAAGAAGGTGAACGAAATGAAACAGAGCTGTTGTTGCGAACAATGAGTTGATATGATTTCTTTGTTAATTTTTATATCTTTTCATCTAGCTTCACTCCCAAGAGTCATCAACTGGTTATTTCTCTAATAGGCTTTCAATGTTAAAACTTTGTCTGATAAACAAGGGATAAAAAGAAAACAATTTAGCTAAGGGATTGATTGAATTTATCCAAATTCATAGAGCTGACATCACAAGAAATTTATTGGAAGACAGTAAGAAGAATCGACATTTTCACCTGGAGTTAGTGGTTACTACTTTAACAAATTCTTTCACTTTAGTGGAAGGACACCTTTTCACTATATTAGAGAGCTTTAATATGTTCATGTTTCTTTGTAATTTTAAAAGACCTTTCTTAATTCAGACTCAAACCAAACTTTCTTGCAGGAGGCACTTGAAAAAGAAAAGAGCAGAAGGAAGTTTGGAAAGGAGCTGACAACCGTTAAACAAAAGTATGTTCAAGTCTGTCCTCCTAAAAGTGTTATATTAAATGATTTTTTGCTCAAGCCAACATATATATGTATTTCATATGTTTGTTGTTTGATTTATCATCTTACGGGTTTATGTCGAATTAATTTGATGGCCTGCTCCCAGTTGGCTTGTTAGCTCAATTGGTAGAGCGCTGCACTAGTATCGCAGAGGTCAGTGGTTCGAATCCCGTACAGGCCTGAATTTTTTTCAGGTCTGATTTTCACTATTGCTTAAATAGTGCTTTACTGCGAAGGATCGTGCACATATACCTAATCTATAAGATTGATAAGAAATATGTCATTAATGACTTATTTACTTTTGGACCACTTGATTTTAAAACTTGCCAGGATGGAATATCAAGAAGCCTTGAAGATAGCGAATGAAAGGAAAAGGGAGAAAATGGAAGAAAGATTAGCAAAGTAAGTAACTAATACACATAGTATTTTCTTTGTATTGAAATTGTTGTTGCTCCAGTTCGTTTGTTACAGTGTGTTTGGTTTTATTTGTTTTTTTGTTTTTTTGTCTTTTTCTGGAGGGAGAGGGGGGTAGTGTTACATTCTTAGTTATGAGTCCTTGAGACGTGCTTATAAAAAGCTCGTAAAGAAGCCACGTGCTTATATTCTTCTTTGCTAGGGATTCTTAATTTTTTGATAGACCCACCTTTGTATGCAACTTTTAGGACAGTATCGACAATGCAATTGTTTGTTTTTTTTTTGTTTAGACAAAGAGTCAAAGATCAGATCGCAAGGGACAGGGCCGAGAGAGCCAGAAAGGTAGCTTGCTTTTTTTTACGCCATTATAGCTTTAGAGATGTTAGCTATTGCGCTTCCTGAAGATTAGTCAGGAAGAACGTTAAAATCATGGATTCAGTGTAATATGTTACTTTGTGCATAAGAAAAACGTATGGGAAAAAACTTCTGTTAGGCATTTTTGAGAAAGCTCTCTAAAAACTTCATTGTTATAGCCATACCGCGGAATGTAGATGAACATTGTAAGCTCGTCAATTTATAAATTAGCGTTTTAACAGGAGTAAAAGATGGTTGGGTGCCTGATAACGTGCTACTCGTTTAATGAAGATAAAATCTAAGAAGAAGTACATTTGCGTCGGACGGTGTGAACGTAAACTTATTTTTTTTTATTGGTGGTTTGGATAACTGTGTTTGGTTACAGTTTGGTAAGGGCGGAGCCGACCCACAGCCGGTCAGTGCAGCAGCTACTGCATCACCAGCCCAAACAGCTCAACCCGCTGCTGTAGAGAAAAAACAACATACGACTTGTAAACTACAGGTAGGGTAATATCTACACTGATCGGGAAATACATATAGTGCTCGCAGATTTGGCTGGCTCGTCGGTCCGTTTATAAAAAGAATACCTTTATCACTCTTATTAGAACTATACCGCCAGAGCATTTAATTACTGAATTTGATGCTTTTGTTAGAGGGAATTCCTACAAATATTAGAAAAAGACGTTCACTGGGCCCTTAAACAGACACCGTGCACTGTCAAGCGGACAGTAGCGAGAATTCCGTTGATGTCCGCTTGAACTTTGACACTCTAACTCATTATGTGTATTCTACATACATTTCCTTATACATTTTTCTATGCAGCTAGTAAAGAGAATTTGTTTGACCAGGAAGAGTTTTATTGGTTGGTGATCATTTGCTTTATTCTCCTAACCTTAATGTTCTATTCAGCAGTCACTGTGATGTTGTAAGGAGAAATTAGATGCTAGTCACTCTTAAGGGTTTTTTAGGATAAAAACACCTTTCGCCATATTCAGTCAAAGATTCACCACTTCGAGAAATCATTGCATTTTTCTTCTTGTTCACTATAATTTTTGGTCTACTTTTTTTTCGAGAATGTTCAAATGAGTACTCGACACTTTCCAGTTTTTTATTTTATCTTCAACAGTTTCGATTAACCAATGGCAGTGCGATCACTGGAACTTTCCAAGCCACAGACTCACTGGAGACTGTTCGTAGTTACATACAAGACAAACGCACAGATGGCTCGGCGCCCTTTAACTTGATGACAACCTTTCCCCGGAAGACTTACACGGACGGAGACATGGAAACCAGTCTCCAGGATGCTGGGCTGGTGCCTTCGGCCGTGCTGATACTGACTAAAATCTAAAAGAAACGCTAGCCATCGCTTATTGCAGAGAAATCAAACTCGAGTCTGGCTCGACGTTGAGCGATGCAAATTGACTGTTAGAAGTTTGGGAATTTCACTTGGCTTGATTTACTTCGACCTGAGGCTGATATAGAAATCCCCCGTCATATTCCAGACCAATCAGATATAAAACTACAATCCGAAGACGTCGCATATTTTTCCCCGCGCTTAAAGCAGTTTGTTTTCAATGGCTTCTGATATTTTCCCTCGAGCTGATTTGCCCGGTTTTCGACAACAAAATGAAATGCGCTCGATTAAAAAGTAACCTTCAATTTTTGATGTGGAGGAGTTTCAGAGAGATAAAAATTATTTTTAAAGTTAAAGGGGAGAGCTGGGGTGTTCGTAACGGATTTGGTGAGGAGGGGGGGACTACATTGAAAACGATTTCGATCTGTATTAATACCCTTTGAGCGAAAATTCATCAGGGAACTTTAAATACAACGCACAATGAGCTGAGATGTTTCGCTCACTTTTAGCCGATCTTGTTGGCACAGAAGTCAAGACCTTTTTAAGAACAAGAGTCAAAACTAAAACTTAAAAGCTGTTTTCAATCGTGTCTTCATCATTTTCATATATTAAACTGAGTTGTCAGCGATTTTTAGTTGCCCATCTCTCGTGATTTTAAAAAAAATATCAATGTACGATTTAGTGCATGGCAAGCTCATAGTAGAAAAATCAAGTGTGTTGAGAAAATGGAAAAGGGAGGCATAAGAGTTAAAACGTAATGATCACTGTTTAACCTTCCGAGCTGGTATTACGTTGCAGAAGGTGACGACCTCTTGCGCTCTTACTTTCCTCTATTAAGAAGCATGTAATCCTTTGTTTTTTTGTGAAAGCATTTTGCCCCCGTTGCAAATAGATTTGCAAGTTCTAAAAATTCAGGCTGTTTGAATGAGTATGATGATTGAAACAATAGGATAAGCTGGGGCGGATTCAGGGGTGGTTCGGTCGAACCCCATAAATTTTCGTTCAAACTGCTGGAAATCATGTTTCCGAAGACCCAATTTTCAAAATATCCCGGGGGAGCATGCCCTCAGACAATTCTCCGAACCCCCCTTGACTTAATCCTGGATGAGTCACAGATTTGTAAACAGTGCAGAATACTTTCTGTTGGGGAAGTGTGTCAGCGGCATTTCGTGGTAACGTAGGCTGTTGGTTACCGTACCACAGTAGATACAGAACGTCCATTAAGACCTTTTGCACATGCCAAATGGAATTGTCAACTTGTCGGTTTAAGTTCCTGTGAGCATGTCGGCCACCTGCAAATATGACAACAGGCACTTGTACTCGATGAAGCTAAAACTGGCGCAGGGAAAGAACAGGTACGTAATAAGATCTGCCCCGTCCACCTTCGCTTCGTTAAATATGAGAAACATCAGGGCAGAGTAATGAAGCTACAGGATGGCGTGCCAATTTGTTGGTTTCATTGCGGCGATGGTGTTAGTCGTGCTTCAGTCGGGACAAGGGGTGCTGGCAAGTGGAACACCTCAACCGGAACAGATTCACATATCCAGCACAGGTGGGGGAAATAACTGTGATGTCGTATTGTCGAACTTCATAGGTTCAGTCAGGGTTGTCACGGGTAGCCTTCAACCAAACGACCAGAGCGAGGAAAAGATAAAATCACCTCGAGTACTAATTGATTGATTTGTTTCTGTAGTTCGGCGAATTGGACATGAATGAGGATTACGGAATGCTATCATGTAAATCTAGAAACAATATGGCACCGTAAATTTCATAATCCATGACACTCAGTTAAATTGCTCAATTTTATGTCATAGATACTTGAATTAAGATTTCATGTCGCTAAATTTATTCCAAACAGTTGAAAACCGTATCTCGCTAAATAGAGGACAGGTTATGACTAAAGTTTCGCTCTCTGGCGACATACTGTTGATTATAATCATCAAAACATCAGACAGGTTTTAGTTAAAACATGATTGAAGGAAAGGTCCCAAGCACATTTGAATTCAGACAACGCTTGTGTCGATGAACTTTGTTCGATGTGAGACGAAATTGTAACTACGGCCTAACTTTTACTTTTTCTCAGAGTTTTCAACATGTATGTTGATCTGAATTTGGTCGGAAGGTGGCGACTGAAACCGGCAAGACGGATTACATAACTCATGTTTCCCCAGAGTGCGAAATGCCAAACGATGTGCTCGAGAAACACGCAGCACTGAGATAACAGAAATCTCTCATGTGATCGCGTATTCTGATCGTCTGGCTGGGTGAGTGTAGTCGTATAAAGGACTGTTGTCGGTAGAAATGACTGATGTTTCAACCTTAGAAAAAGTCATCACAGAGATAAGAGTATGGTAAAGAGTTGTTGACTTCTAATCAGGTTGTCCAAGCGTAAGTCACCCTCACCGACATCCTTCTTAGGACTACACTCAGCCGAACGATCAGACCACGCTATCACATGTTACCCTCGGTTTCAAACAATTTCCTGTAGTAATTTCTCTCTTCCTCCTTAATCCTTCCGTCCCAGGTTGGACATGAGGCTTTACCATACACCACCAATAAACCGGCCCAGTCCCATGCTTTAGCGTACGCATTCCGGCTCCAACAAGCGAGTTTCGGATTGTCCTTTCGTGTAATCTCAGTAAGAAAAAGAAGTTTCTAAGAACAGAAATAAGAGCATAGGCAGTTCTCAGTCTGGAGCTTATTTGCTTTCCTTTATATTCATTTCGGAAAAATTAAAACAGGAACTTTAGCTCTTTTTCTACCTGAGCCCATCAGTGAGTAACCCGCTACTGAAACGTTGCACTTTTCAATACCTCACTCTGTTACTTTATGAGGACTTTGGGCTTCTCATTTCCATTGTAACATTGCAGTCTCACGGTTTCCTTCTTTTGCAAAATTTATTTAGAAGGTTTTAGGGTAGTTAACTCTTACAAAAATAGACAAAATGCGCTTTATAAAAATATCCATGAAAATGTTACAGGTGACCCCACAGAAATGATGATCACATGGGTGACGATGGCTGAGTCAGTTAAGAGCGTTGTGGAGTATGGGGAGAGGTTGAAACTACCGCTGAACAAGAAAGCATTCGGTTCCGCTACCAAGTACAAAGCTTGTGGCTGGAAGAAGCGGATCATTTATATGCATCGAGTTAAGCTAGAAGAACTGACTCCGGGTTCTGGATATGGTAAATATTTCTTTTTTGCTATCTTAGAGCGTTTTTCTAACAAACAACAGAGTAATTAACAGTCGGGAAAGGTGAAGATTAAGATCATTGATAGATCAAAATGGTCAAAGGGAAATAATGAAAAGCGCGTGAAAGCGTTGACAACCGAGTTACAATAAAGGCTGATAGTTTCTAAAGAAACTGTTTGGGGCTGCGTCGGTGGGGGTAATGAAATAATTTGGATATATCAACAAAGTTGAAATGGTAAATTGGCCACCGTAACGATTACAAAAGCTGACGTTTCGAGCGTTAGCCCTTCTAACGCTCGAAACGTCAGCTTTTATAATCGTTACGGTGGCCAATTTACTATTTCAACTTTGTTGATATATCCACATTATCGAGTTACAATAAGTTTTAAACTTCCCTCCGATTGGTTGTGTGGATAGCGCGAGTTTTTT